CCTTCGGATACCTGTGTGACTCATTTCTTTACTGCATCCGCTTTCTGCTCGAGTATTTTTTTTCCGCTGTCAGCTCAGCTAATCACCCTGTCTGAAATAGCATTCCTTCTCACTTTTGGTTAAACTGGTTCTTTTTTCCTCATAGCATTTAACACTACCTGACATTATGCGTCTCTGTTTTAGTTCTTTCTGTGTTGCTATCACAGAATACCCAAGACTGGGTAGTCTATAAAGAAAGTAAGTTTATTTGGCTTGTAATTCTGGCAGGAAATCCAAGATTAGGCAGCTTGTCTGGTCGGCTTCTGCTGAGGGCATCATGCCACTTCAACTCCTGGCGGAAAGTTTAAGGGGGAGAGGGTGTATGCTTCATACATGAAAGGCAAACTTGCTTCATAACAGCCAGCTTTCTCAAGAACTATTCCAATACCCTGGAAACTCATCTTGTCTCATGAGAACTGCATTAATCCATTCACGAGTGTGGAGACCCCATAACCCAAATACTTCTTAAAGGCTGCATCACCTCTCAATACCATTACATGAGCAATTAAATGTCAACATGAGTTTTGGCAGGGACAGAACATAGCAATTTGTGTTTATTGGATTATTTTACGTCCTTCTCACCTTGCCAACATACTAGAATGAAAGATCCTTAGTGGCAGGGCCTTTTACTGTTTGGCTCATTCATGTAACACCAGCCCAGTAACGTGGCTTGTACCTGTAGTTGGTCTCAATGTTGAATAAATAATTATTACATGGATTTAGAGCTCAGAGAGTATGTGGTGGGAAGACAGAGGGTCCAACTTGAGGTAAGGATGCCTACATTTAAAGGCAGGTAAAAGAGAAGTTGCCAAGCTGTGGGTGCAAAGCTGGGAGTTGTTCTGGAAGCTAAGAGGAAAGAGAGGAGAAGGGAATGACCAAAGTCATCAAACATGTCTGAGAACTTAAGAAGGAAAATGACTGGATAATTCTCATTGGATTTTGAGGCATGACTGTCACTGATGCCCTAGATAAGAGTCATTTCAAGTGTATATTAGAAATGGAGCCCAGTTAGAGTGGGTTGAAATGTGAGTGTTGGGAAAATAGATGGGAAGGCTTTCATTTGCCAACTTTCACATATTTTGTAGATGATAATCTGTGATCAATTAATATCAATAATTGAAGATAGATAATGGTTCCAACTAAGTTGGGGAAATGGTAGGCATGGATTAATGACCTGCTTTGCTCCAACCTGCTCTGCCTATGGCAAGTGTCACAGAGTATGTGGTTGGACTATGGCTCTCTGAGAGACCTTGAACCAGTTGTGTCTCCTTCATGAGTTCCTTCATGAATTTGCACACCTACAAAATCAGCACACCAATCATGGCCCTCCTACCTAAGTCATAGGCATGTAGAAATGACCAAAGGAGACATCGCTCCTGAAAGTGCTTTGTAACTTGAAAGAAAAATGTAAAATATTAGTAGAGTCATTTTGCTTGCCTCTGGATGCTGACTAAATTATCCCCTTACAGATTCCTGAACAACGTTGGTTTCTTTTTTCCACTGATAATGATGCTGACGTGGATGGTGTCTGTGGCTAGCATGGTCAGAAAGTTGGTGTATGAGCAGGAGATCCAGATAGAAGAGGTAAATATCCTTAAACCTCACCTAGGAGACAAAGATGGGGAAGCTGGGGACTTTGGAAATGGATCTTGTCCCATAACTAACCTGAGCCTCTCTGTTTTGCTTCCCTCTCCTCTGCTGGGGTTCTGGTGTACAAAATAGCTGAGTCCCTGTTCCAGAAAGATGATTTTATGTTGAAGTCTGAAGCAATGCCAGAGTTTAACAGATATTTTCCATTGACATGAAAGAAAGTCAAAGAATAGCCCTACGAGATTGCAAGAACAAAGCCAATATTCCTCATTCAGCAACTTTTTTCAAACCCAGAAAAACACAGCAGCAGACTTCCCATCTTAATTTATGCTTAGAATATTTTTATGTAGAGGCCCTGCTATTTTTGTTGTAATACTGTTATAAAACTTGAAACTATCATAACTTAATTTTTTTTATTTCCATAGATTTTTTGGGGAAGAGGGGGTGTTTGGTTACATGAATAAGTTATTCAGTAGTGATTTCTGAGATTTTGGTGCACCCATCACCCGAGCCGTGTTCCTGGTACCCAATGTGTAGTCTTTTATCAGTCACCACCCCCAACCCTTTACCCTGAGTCCCCAAAGTCCAGTGAATCATTCTTATGCCTTCGTGTATCATAGCTCAGCTCCCACATGTGAGTGAGAACATATGATGTTTGGTTTTGCATTCCTGAGTTACTTCACTTAGCATAAGAGTCTCTAATTCCATCCAGGTTGCTCTGTATGCTATTATTTCATTCCTTTATATGGCTGAGTAGTATTCCATGGTGTGTGTGTGTGTGTGTGTGTGTGTGTGTGTGTGTGTACTTTTTCTTTATTAACTCATTGATTGATGGGCACTGGGTTGGTCCCATATTTTTGTAATTGTGAATTGTGCTGCTATAAACATATGTGTGCAACTATCTTTTTCATATAATGACTTCTTTTCCTCTGGGTAGATACCCAGGAGTGGGATTGCTGGTTCAAATGGTAGATCTACTTTTAGTTCTTTAAGGAATCTCCACACTGTTTTCCATAATGGTTGTACTAGTTTACATTCC